CCCATTCATAATGGCTCTACTCACCTCTTGCAGGCCCAGCCTTTTAATACCATCACATTAGGTGTTACCTTTGAGCATATGAATTTGTTTGTGATGGGGGGTTACACACATTCAAACCATCATGCTCACATATTTGCTTTTCCTTTTAACCACTCCTGCTATTGCCTAATTCATGCTCATTTCTACTTGCAAGCCATCAGCAATAATCGGCAACTGCTATTCCTGGTCTCCTGGCTTGCCCTTCATACACTATCCTTCTTCTAAAATCATTTCCATTCAGTTTTCCCATTGTCTTAGCAATGGGAAACTTGCATACAAATCCTTTCATGATTTTTTTTCCCTGACCACTTTTTTCAACTTCATCATTTGCTGCTCCCTTTCCACCCTTTTCCATGCAACTTTGCTCTTCCTTAGCCCTCCCTGTGGCCTTCTGTGTATCACCCCAGTGGAAACCTTTGCAGTTTCATTCTGCATGACACACTCCTTTGTGGTCTGTGCCTAGGCTGCTCTTCTGGAGTGGAATTACTCTTCCATACTGAATACCTGGTGAACATGTACTCTAAGGTCACCCACTTTAAATGATCATTCCTGATTCCTTGATTTTGCACAGGAACAGCCAGCCACATTCCTCTCCCCTGTGTTCCATGTGATTCCACTTTGTACAATCATTTTCTACAGTTATTTATTTTAGTATCTGTCTCATACTTCCATTAAACACATATTTATTGAGTGGTTTCCATGTGCCATATACTACCTAATTCATCTTAGTGTTCCTGGCAGTTAGCACTACCCCTGGCATGCAGTAGATACCGGAGGAAAGTAATGCTGGAACTGAGAAAGGAATGGTGGCAGCAGGTTGCTGGTCACAAGAGGGAGGAGGGTGTGACAAGAGGGCTGTCAGAAAGCTTGCTGGGGAGACAGGCAGAAGTCAGGGCATAGATGGCTTTGTTTATGGTGATAATTGTACAGATTTATTTCTGTAGGTTATGGGGAGGATTTTCCAAAAATTGTGAGTGGGGTTTGATGGAACCTAACATCCATGTCATGGTTGTATTTGAAGTGGGCATGTTGGGGAGAGAACACAGAGAAGCAAATAGATGCAGAGATGAAAGATAAGATATGAGGCAGATTGATCAGCTAGGAGCCCACTGCAGTACTCTAGTTAAGAGGCCATGATGTCTCAGGTAGACTAAAGGCAATTGCAATGGAGAAAAAAAGCTGTGGTTATAAATTTGTGCCCAGGTTTTTGCTTGGTTTTGGAAATTGAGAGATAGAGATATCCAGAACGATCCAAGCTTTCTAGTTTAGACCTCTGGAAAGAAGGGAGGGCTTTATATAAGATTGGAAAAAAGAGAGGAATGGCAGCTACAGGGATGCTGGGTGGAGTTTGAAGAATGCTGACTTACAGATGCTTGTGGGACCACTAACTTGCCGTATCTAGTAAAGAGTGAAGCATTATGGTTCGTGAGAAAGAGCTGATATTAAAAAAGAGAGAAAATATGTGCATAGGAGAAATTACCTGGGGATAACTTAAAATGTGAAAAGGGGAGGTTGAAGATATATCCTTGAAGAAAACATTTAGAAGGCAAAGAAAAGAGAGATGAAGATGGATACTGATAAGTAAGTCCCTATCCTCCTAAAGTTTGAGAATCTGGAAAATAATGGTTTTAATAAAACAAGTGAAGAAACATTTATAAATAAATGTGTAAATAGTATAATTACCTCCATGAAAACAGTCTCAAAAAAACCCAAAAACCAAAAATTAAGATTTGCTGGTATCTAATGCATTATTTTGATTATACCTCTTCTTTATTTAAAAAAAACCTGGAATGTTACAGCCTGTTGGAGAATTACGCCTGGCAGAATGACAAGAAAATATTTAGAAAGCAAAGAAAAGAGAGATGAAGATGGATACTGATAAGTAAGTCCCTATCCTCCCAAAGTTTGAGAGTCTGGAAAATAATGGTTTTAATAAAACAAGAGAAGAAATATTTGTAAATAAATGTGTAATCTGCACTCAGAAAATGCAGAGATGTAAAGTTAAAAAAAAACCAAACTTAAAAAATTTACTTATATTTTGACCATTAGACTCTCTGAGATTTTAGAGATAGTTTTAAGGGAGTGGTTGGGATTTGATCGCTATTTAATATGTTGAAGTTCAAATGGATGTCAGGCACTAGAGACAGGTAGCAAAATTTTATTTTCTAAAAATATTGATGTAACTAGAAAGAGAAATGAGTTGATAGCTAAGGATGTAGGTGTGTCAATGGAGGCATGTGTAAGGTCAAGTGAGATTTTCCTCCTTGACCACAGTATCATGTTTACTTTTCTATGTTTTTAACTGATCCTTTTCTATCTAATTTGCTGACTTCCTTAAGATATGATTGGTTATATTCAAGTCCAGTCTTATTTCTTTCTCTACAGGTCTTCTTTCAGACTTTTTCCAAACCCATGACTTTCTTCAATATCAACATCTATTCTTTAAAAAAACAATCCTTTATCTGAAATTCCTGTTCTTGATCTTAGGCTGCTTTCATTTTATAGCATGAACAATAACTCTTTTTTTTTTTCTTTTTTTTTTTTTTTAATTTGGCTGTTAACTTCAACAGGCAAACAATAACTCTTGATAGCATTTTGTCAGTATTAATTTAGCAGTTATTAAATGGAACTCACCATTACCTTCAAGATACCTGATTCACCATGTTTTTCACTTTCTTGGTTTTGGAATTATAAATATCCACTTATGTCAAGTCACTAGGTTCTATTTGTTCTTTGTAATGACTTTTTTTATTTTCCTGTTCTTTTTTCCCCCTATTGTCACTATCCTATTTAGTTTCATATCTTTCTTTCTGGGATAGTATAATTACCTCCATGACAACAATCTCAAAAAAACCCAAAAACCAAAAATTAAGATTTGCTGGTATCTAATGCATTATTTTGATTATACCTCTTCTTTATTTTAAAAAAACCTTGAATGTTACAGCCTATTGGAGAATTAGGCCCTCATAGAATAACAAATAAATTGGAGTTTAAGTAAGCATCTATTTAAATGAAAAAAAAAATTGTCTCAGATAACAGGGTCATTTACCCGTGATCACGTTATTAGGTACAAAGAATAATGATGATTTACCTTTTGCTGGTAACTAGACACATTTAATTTGATTTGTTCACCACAAATTGCAGATAATCCTCACTCTCAGAAAAAAAATGTTGGCTGGGTACATTGGTTCATACCTGCAATCCCAGCACTTTGGGAGGCTTAGCTGAGATCACTTGAGGCCAGGAATTCAAGACCAGCCTGGGCAATATACCGAGAGCCCATCTCTACAAAAAATAATTTAAAAAAATTAGCCAGGTGTGGAGGTGTGTGTCTGTAGTCCCAGCTACTTGGGGAGCTGAGGCAGGAGAATCACTTAAACACAGGAATTGGAGGCTGCAGTGAGCTATGATGGTACCACTGCACTCCAGCCTGGAGGACAGAGTGAGATCTTGTCTCTAAAAAACAAGAAAAAAATATGTGTCTGTGAACATCTTACTCTTCACTCTTTGCCATTTTAAGTTCTATTCATAGTTTCTATGACACTCTTCTGAGTTTAGCTTTCAGAAACATCTGGCCAAACAAGCCCGCATCTAGTTGCAGTCACTTCCTTTCTATTCCTACTATTTCCTTTAGACTTAAACTGCAATATCAGCTCCTGCCTGTGTCTCCAGTCTGATAACCCTTAGACTTGAACTGCAAGATGGGCTCATTCTGGTGTCTGCAGCCTGATTGCCTTCAGACTCAAACTATAGCAGTGCCTCTTCTCTGGGTTTGCACCCTGCCAGCCCACCCTGTAGGTTCTGGATATGCCAGGCTTCCTAATCACACGAGCAATTCTTAAAATTCATCTCTATACATATACACACATTCTATTGGTTCTGTTTCTCTGGAGAATCCTAATACAGATTTTGGTGTCAAGAGTGATTCTAGAGAAATAGCATCTAAATGACTTGTTTTCTGCAATGGTTCTAGGTTTCTAGATTCTAGGTTCTAGGAAATACTGCAACAGTATTTCCAGTCATAGTAAAAGCTTGATTGTCTATAGTGTGATGTGGCAACAGAGATATATATTAAAAGAAACACTGCTGGATATTCCTGATCAAACACTTAAAGGAGGCAAAGACCTGGGTAACAACATATGTGATACCTTTAAACATTTTTGTCAAACTAATGAGTAATGCAATTGGCTGCTTGTTCCCAATATTGCTGAACCAAGTAAAGATAGAAAAAAAATGAGCTTAGGAATTTGAATTCCCAGCTCAACTGCTGCATAAATGACTCAAAAGCATGTACAGAAACATCCAGAATAATGTTTGCCTACATATCTATGCACTAAGGCCCAGCCAAATTCACACATAAAATTAACCATCACAATTTCATCCCTTGTTAACTAACTTCCAAGCATACGCATATCCTACACAGTGCTTAATCTGTAGATAAAGACAGTAACGAGGGCATACTCCCACTTAACACGGTACACCTGGATGTTTCTGTGAGGCAATTTCTGGATGAGATTAACGTTTAAATTGGTGGACTTCGAGTAAAGCAGGTTTCCTTCCATAATGTGGGTAGGTGTCATCTAACCAGTCGAAGAAATGAATAGAACAAAAAGACTAACCTCCTCTGAGCAAGAGGGAATTTTACAGCAAATGGCCTTTGAACTTGATCTACAGGATCTGCTGTTCATTGAGTTTCTAGCTTGCTGGCCCACCCTAGAGATTTGGGGCTTGCCAGCCTTCTTAATCCCCTGAGCCAATTAAAATAAATAAGTAAATATCAATATATTGGCTATAGAGACAGAATCCAATATATCTATATACTCTATCTCTATATAGCCAATCTATTGGTTCTGTTTTTCTAGAGAACCCTGACCAATACACTAAGCAACAGATCTTGCCTCCCACCAGGTAATGTTATGTGCAGATTAAAGCATGTACAAGGACACCATACTTACACTTGAATTTGTTCTGAGACAACAGTCACAAGATCAAGTTCGTAAGTCAAGAATTCTCCGTCTTGAGATTGTCTGTACTTCTCTGGCTTTGCCTTTTCCAAACCATCTTGTACATTGCAGCCAGATGGCTTTTCTGAAAGCACAAATATGAAGAAGATAATACTTTCTTTTAAATTCTTTAATAACTCTACATAACCTTTTGAAGAAAACCATCATCAGTACAGTCTACATGGCTGTGTGCCTCTCCTGTCCCCTCCTTCCTCATACCCTGCCATGGAGCTGAGGTAAACTACCTGTTGTTCTCCACAGTCACCAACGCTGTTTATCCCTTGTAAACCTTTTAATCTCCAAGCTGCTGCTTTTGCCTGGAATATTCTTCTCTCATTATTCTACTTGGTGAGAAACTACTTATCTTTCAAGTCACAGCTCCAGTAGTCCAGATGGCATCCTTTTTTTCTTGTTTTGGCTAACGCTGAATATTTTCTACTCTATGTCCTCACAGAGTTGTTTTTAGGTGACTAGGGCTCATGACATCTTGATTTCCCTCTCCCATCCTATCTTTCCACTCCCCAAATGACCAATATTCATGGTTACCACTGCCTAGGGACACGTGGACACCAACCCCACCAAGGCTGTTGATAAACAACCTTATGCTTGCTTGATCAAGCAGAGACAATCTATATACCCCTGAAATAAGCAATAAATTTAACAAAGGCATTTCGTATGTGGGAAAGGCTTATGAAAAAAACATGGTGATATAGCAAAGAAAAATATTTTCAACTGGAGCAAGGAGAATTTGATTGTTTTAAGAGAGAACAACAGAGTTCGGGATATGTTGCAAATACCATTGCAGAAGATTCTAGACTTGGGATCCATTAGGATTCTTATTCAGAAAACTTACATTATGCATTCAGAAACTTCGTAAGATTTTCTTCCACTCTTTTTGTTAATAAATTTGTTTTTTGTTAAAAGAATCATCATTCTCTTAACGGAAGGGGAACAGTGCCTGAAAAGAAGGATCACTGAAGAAATAGTTGTGGAATAAATGAATGAAAGAACGGAGGCAGACAATAAAGGCCGAACTAATATGCATTTGTTTATTGCAATAGTAAATGAGAATCAGCAAAATGAACCTCAGCAATCCTCAGGGCCGAGAGGATTAAAAGAATGGGCATTTTCCTGTCTCCTATTGATCGTCTCCTCTCATCCTTCCTTAGTGGGAGGCACTTAAAGTTACTTCGTTTGACCTTAATAACAAATATAAAAGGTAAATATTACTATCTTCCTTTAATGGATAAGGGAAATTAGTCTCGGCGGAGCCAAGTATTTGTCCAAAGTCTCACATTGAGTAACAGCCAAGCTCCAGTGCTCTTTCCAGTCTGAGCGTAAAGACTGGCCCACGCCTATGGGATGTCTTTCACTGGAGTTGACTTAATCCACTTAGCAGCCCTTGATGCGCCAGCCCTCCGGCCCCCTGCACCTACCACTCTCCACTTCCATCTGTCATATCTTATCACCTCCATTCTTCAGCACTTTAGTAAAATCCTTTCTGTGGAGCAGCTTAGCTCTGGTCCATTGTTTCTCAACCTCAGCACTACTGACATGGTAGGCTGGATAATTCTCTGTTGGGGTCTGCCCTGTGGGTGCAGGATATTCAGCAGCATCCTTTGACCCACTGGACAGCAGTACCATTTTTCCTTCCAGTTGTGATACCAAAACTTTTCCAGGTCCTGTTAAACATACCCAATAGTGCAAAATCACCCTCAGTTGGGAACCCTGGTTCCGATCTATCTTTCTCCAGGTATTTATTATTCCTAGTCTCTCAAAGCCTTCCTTGAAAATCACAGCCTTCCTTGGTAATCTCCTTATTTGCAATTAAACATGAACTTCCTTAAGTCCTTTTTCCTAATTTTCTTTCTATTTTTAGTCCTATATTGATACTTAACTTTTCATGGCCATAACTCTCTTTTCAACTTTTTAAAAAAGTTTCTTTGACATAGAAACAAATTTCTTACCGAATCTTAATAAGCCCTTGTGTTTTCCACAGACATTCAAACAGACATTTGATGATTTGATTATTTTGCGGTATGAGAATTTGGACTAATTTATGATGTGAAATAACTTAAAATGTCTAATGAAGTTCAGCAGCCGCTCAAGTCACATGGGAGGATAATGCCAGACACCATCCACCGTTTACTTTCTATCGGTGCACCAGGTTAATCGCCTAAACAACCACAAAAATTTGGGTTTCTACCTAGTTTGTCCAATATATTGGCAAAAGCATGAGAAAATAAAATTGAGGGGAACTAATAAATCATGAGATATTTCATATTTACCCTCTAGTGCAAGAGCAAAGTCACTGTTTTCCAGAGAAAGGCATAGAAAAGACATTTTATACATTTTTGCAAACTTTTTTACCTTGCTGGAGAATGCAATAAACTTTTAGCATTTTCACAAGTGTGAACAAGCAGATTCTAACATCTTTCAAGTGCTTGAGCCGTTGGTCTATTTTAGAAATCTTGAGTTTGGGTAGGAATTGTGATAATGTAGTCTCACATAATCATTTTAAGTATTGTTAATGTGGTGAAAATTCCTTTAGGGAAGGAAGAGAAGACCTCTATCAAGTTTATTTATTTTATTTTTAAAATTTTCAAATGGTGGTAAAATATTCATAACGTAACATTTACCATCTTAACCATTTTTTAAGTGTACCGCTCAGTAGTGCCAAGTACATTCACACTGTTGTACAACCAACCACCAGCCCCCTTTTCATCTTGCAAAACTGAAACTCAATACCCACTAAACAACTCTCCACTCCCCTGTACCTCCAGCCCCTAGAAGTAATCACCATTGTACTTTCTGTCTCTATGAATTTAACTATTCTAGTTACCTCACATAAATTTGATCAGGTGGTATTTATCTTTTTGCACTTGGCTCATTTCACTTACCATAATGTCCTCAAAGTTCATCCATATTGTAGTGCATGTCAAAATTTCCTTCCTTTTGAAGGAGTAATAATATTCCATTGTATGTATATATTACATTTTGTTTATTCATTCAACCATTGGTGGAATGGTTGGGTTGCTTCCACCTTTTGGCTATTGTGAATAATGCTGCTATTGTTCATGAACCCACAAAAGGTTTTTTCCCCCTAGGCTTAGTTGCTTACCATATAGAAAACCAACTATGGAGACAATGAGAATTGCTAGGGAAGAAAGGGAGTTTATTTGCAGATGACATCAGCTGGGAGATAGGAGAACTGCCTCAAATCCATATCCCTAACTGATGGGGTTAGGGGTCTTTTTAGAAGTGAAACGAGTAATGCATGATGTGAGTGAGCATCATTACACATTCAGGTGGAGTTCAGGGCATGCAATCAGAGTGAGAAGTCATATCAGCACATGCTGGCACATATACTGCATTATCGAAAAATGGAGAATAAACCTTCCCAGGGTAGAGATTTCAGTAGTATAATGAGCAAGGGTTTAATATTGGTCATCCTTTCAGTATTGTGTACATGTGGGTGGTGGGCAGTAGGTTTGCTCAGCAGGTCCTTGGGCAAGATTTGTGGTGTAATGTCACTTATCTTGACTTCTCTGAACAATCAGGTGGTTTAAGACTTTGTAGTTATCTCATGGCTGCAAGAAAGTTCCACCATTTCTGAAAAAAAAACTCAAAAGGGAAAGGGTCATTGAAACAGAAAGTTACCAAGTTCTGATCAGCAATCTTGCTGGCCTGGAAACTTGAAATATAAGAGAACTGCAAAACAGCAATTATATTCGTGGTTACACTACGAACATGAGTGGACAAATATTTCTTTGAGATCCTACTTTCAATATTTTTGGGTGTATACCAGAAGTGGCGTTAATATTTGGGGTCATATGGTAATTCGATTTTTAACTTTTTGAGGAAATGCCATACTCTTTCCCATAGCAGCTGCACCATTTCAAACCCCTGCCAACAGTGCTTAAGGGTTCCATTTTCTCCATATTTTCAGCAACAATGGTTATTACTATTTTTTTATAGTAGCCATCTTAATATGAGCAATTAGGTAGTATCTCATTGCTCATTGTTCTTTTTATTTGCATTTCACTAATGATTAGTGCTGTTGAGCATATATATGCATGTGCGTGTTGGTCATTTGTAGAATTGTAGATATTGTAGATATTATTTGCAGAAATGTCTATTCAAGTCTCTTGCCAATTTTTAAATTGGGTCATCTGTTTTTTGTTGTTGTTGAATTGTAGAAGTTCTTTATATATTCTTGATATTAACTCCTTTTCATATGTATGATTTGCAAATATTTTCTCCATTCCATGGGTCACCTTTTCACTTTGTTGATTGTTAATTTGATGCCTGGAAAATTTTAATTTTAATAATGTCTAATTTATGAGTTTTTACTTTTGTTGCCTTTGCTGTTGGTGTCATATCTAAGAAATTATTGTCAAATTCAATATCGCAAATGAACTCCATGAAATTTATCTTCCTTATAATTTGATGCCCAGAAATTTTTAATATTAATATGGTCTAATTTATCAGTTTTTACTTTTGTTGCCTTTGCTGTTGGTGTCATACCTAAGAAATTATTGTTAAATTCACTATCACAAAGGAACTCTATGAAATTTACCTTCGTGGTAGAACCTAGGACTCATGATTACTTTCTTGTTGAGTAACTGAATGATTTTAAATATTAACTACAAACCAAATCTTCATAAGTTTCTCCACTACAATTATATAAGCACTATAAACATTTTTTAATTGTAAAAACTAGGAGAATTTTTTTTCTCTCTCTCTCCTTTTCTTAACCTATCTTTCATTTTCAGCTCTAGCTCTTGTGCTCTTTTGCACACTGCATACTTTCTTAGTCTCTTTAAATCTTATAAAACTAGTGCAGCTATTTTGATAAGAGCTATGTTTCTTTATATAAAAAATATGCACCAAATAATACAGTGTAGAGGTTAAAATATCAGTGGAGTTTGAATGCAAAATATGTCACAACATTAAGGCAGGGACTATGTCTTGTTCACTGCCTGGTACATATTAATAGCTTAATAGATATTGATTGAATTAATAAAGGTATAAAATGGGTAAGTTACTTAAACTATCTAAGTCTCACTTATAAAGGGACTAATA